ATAGGAATAGAGGCGAGCGAGAAGAGGAGAGAGACAAACGAGATTCATTATGTATCTCAGATACATGTGAATCACACCATATATAGATAGATACATGTATATGTCTGTGTCTATGTATCTGATGTGATTCACATGTATCTGGGATACCAGATACATAAGAGAGTGGCAAGCAAGATGGGAGAGAGGTGGAGATTTGTTATATATCTCATAAACATTTGAATTAACTTTGATATAATGTATCTAGAACAAATTACACATGATCTTGACCTCATGTATCCCCCAAATACATGTATCTAGATGTATCTGAACGTATTTGAACATACCAAAATTCGAAAAGATACATAATATTGTAAATGATAGTGTATCTGATTAATTTTTTTTTAATTATATGGTGATGTATGTATGCCTCTTTCATTAAAAATAATAAAATGATTATGTCCTAAATTAGTGAAATTTACGTAAGTTCTCAAAAAAATATACTAATAGAGATTAGAGGTCATGCCAAACCCCTCCACTACAAGGAGGATTTGATGAAATAAAATCAAATCAAATCCAACTAACAAAATTTATTTAAGTAAACCCTACCTACCTCCATGCTTTAGAAAGCCCATTAATTTTTGTTCTGGACTAGCTTTTCCAATCATTGTAACTAAAGTTGTAGCATGTTATCTTTGAAATATTCTTATTTTGTTGATTCTCATCATTAGGCGGAAGCATGAATATGATTATAGGATTTTTTTATTCCAGTAAAAACTGTACAAAACCTTATGATTTCTATTTTTGCTCTATATTTTATAATTTTGAAATTTCTATTTTTCAATTGTGTTAAATAAGACAAGGGTGAATTTATTCATGACACTATTAATTTTCTTTTAGAATTATTATTTTTTCATTTAATTGATTTTGCACGTCTTTGACTTGTCTTCATATATATTCAACAGAATAATACCAACTAGAAGCTACTTGTCAATTAATGTACCCATGATGCAGAGTAAAGTATAATCCACCTAGGATAAACCCTATTTATGTAGGTACATTTGAAAGTTGAAGTTGGGGTCACTTGGTAAAGTGTATTTGAAGAAATAATGCATGTATTAGTTTAATTTGTGTATTAATAGTAATTTATTTGGTATACATTTTCCGACTATGTACTGAAGTGTGTATTACTAATACATGAAAATCAATGATATTATCATCGTTTGGTAGGGTGCACTATAATGATAATGCTAAATGGAGTGTATTAATAATGCTTGTATTAATTATGCATATATTATTTCTTATCCATTGTTTGATTTGGTGTATTAAAAATAACATATATTGCATATTCTTAAAAAAATTATTTATTTACAAAGATGTCCTCCACAAATATGGTGGAAATAATGTTTAAAAAAATTGAGGGGTAATTGAATCTTTAACCATGAAAGAAAATAATTATTCCTTCTTCTTCTTCTTTTTTTCAATTTAACGGGCATTAATTTTTGGGAAAATTGTATATAATAGCAAACTATTAATTCAAATTAAATGCTATAAATATAGTTTGATTTAATTGTACTTCATAGCAAACTGTTGCTCTTTCATCTCTCTCCTGGTGAATCTCACTCGCCACTCTCGTTATCTCCCTCGCCTCTCTCATTTTTTATACAAACGCAAGTGTATAAAGTGCGTTTGTGTTTGTATAAAGCGAGAGAAAATTGTATATATACATATATTTTCGTTCCCCTCTCCCAGATCTTGCTCGCCACTCTCC